GATATTTTTTGGAGAAAACCCGTTCTAATCGGGGTTGGGGGTCGGGTCCCCATCAGGTCAGGGTTCAAATTGTCATCCCTACTGAATGGAGGTTTGTTTTCTCTCTATATGAAGACTCATATCCTTCTGCCTATGTGGGGGCTCTTTTTATTCATTTTGAGATCTATTTTATATTTCAATATACTTTAATCTACAAATTATTGTCAAATGTGTAAAATATTAAAAGTCTCGTGTTTTTTCAGTAAAAAAACAAAAAACAAAAAGCAAAAATCAAAGATAGGGTGTGTGTGTGTGTGTGGTGTGTGTATTATAAGTGTGTGTAATTGAAGTTCACATAATGAGCAAGCAATACCCAATACAATACGCCAGAGAAGTCCTGCAAGAAAGATCTTCACTATCTAATCCACTCCACTCAATTACTTTTTTTCTTGTTGCAAATACGTGTGATTGTATTCAGTTGGACGAAAAATTATCACATAGGTGCCTTGCTTTCCTAGTTGCTTGGTTACTACAAAAGAGCTAGAAAGTCTGAGAAGTTTAGAAAAGATTAAACAAAAACTTTTTTGGAAAATAATCAATAAATTTTATTTTATTATTAAGATTATTGTCAAGTCTTATTAAATTTGAATATAGACAACTAAATCCTATTTATCATAAAATGTTTTTAAAAAATTCATTACTTCATAATGATGTATCTTATCTCAATTTTACGTTGCTCTTTTAATATGAACAATAATTTATAAATAATTTCAAATTAATTAAAATTAAAAATTTTAATGAAATAAAATATTAATATTAATATTATATTAAAAAATATAAGTAACAATTGGATTGAAACAACTTAAGTATAAAATGTGCCATTTTTTATTATTTTCAATTATGAATTTTATTTAGTATAAACAATTTAAAAATGTTAAGTTCTATTAAACTTCTAAAGAGTTATGAAAAATAATACTATGACAAATTTATATATTTTTCAATGCATGAGATAATTGATGAATCTTATATGCATGTTTTTATTTATAAAAGTTCATTTAATTCAACAATTAAAAATCTTATTATTATAAAATTTGAAACAAATTTAAATTATTTATGACTTTTTTGGTTCATATTTTAATGAAAGATAAAATTAAAATAAAATATACTATTATGAATAATTGAACTTTTTTTTATAAGAATTTATAAAATAAAAAAGAAAATATAACGTGTTTGTCAATATTAAATTTTGATATAAGTCAATAGTAATTTTTAAACAAAATAAAACTTATTGGTAATTTTTTTCATGGTGGTTCATAATATTTTAATAAAATATCATAATTTTTACAATTAAAAAATACAATTTTGCTTAGATTAAAAATACTTATGAAATTATTTTTCATATTAAATGACAGATAAAATTGGAATAGCATACACCATTATGGAAGAATGAACTTATTGGAAATGTTTTATGAAAAATAGGACTTAATTGTCTCTGTTGAAAATTGATAGAACTTAATAATAATCTTAAGAGTAAAATAGGACTTATTAGTTATTTTCTTAAACTTGGGTGTGGTCAAAACTGTAAGAAAATTAAGAGTTGGTTTGGCAAGTCCAAAATAATTCAAAAAGTCAAAAAGTTACATAAAAAACAAAAAAAAAAATTTACTATTCACAAATAAAAAATATTAAAAAAATATTTTATTTATTTTTATAATACAAATCGACTGAGCAATGTGACATCCGTACATGTGATAGAGACCAAGCCATTATACACTTTTTGGGGCAAAAAAAAAATTACATATGTAAAGCCACAAAGTTTGATGGTAATGTTAGGCCCTTGGGAAGGGTTCCATTTTAACAATTCAAACCGTTTAATATGTAGAACTCGTCGAGTAATATATACTCATAAAAAATAACGTTGATCGGATATCGTTAACTATATGATCACATCAGTTTTGTATAAACAAAACGGATGGGGTAATAGTTAACTATTGAAAGATACCCGATCCGATCATATAACTATCGATATCCGATCAACGTGATGTTTTACAAACATATAATGCTCGACGAGTTGTACATATTAAACGGTTTAGATTATTAAAATGGGACCCATGGTGATCCCTACGGACCGACCATCACTGTCCAAACACTTTGCCTTGAAGGAGGCAATTATTTTCTATGTAAGACATGCTAGGGCAGCAGGGCAGCCGTACAGCTCTGTCAACTTTCTTTCACTATACACTTTATTTATATAATTTTTATTACACATTTTTTCGTAAAAAGACAAAAAGTTAACCCAAACATCCATCTTTTTTTTCTCAATTTTTTAGTTCAAAAAGGCAAAAAAATATACTTATTTAAGACACTCCAAATACCAGCATGGTAACTATAGATTTCAATCTTTGAAACCCCAAAAAATCACCTTATTTGATTTTTAAGGGGTTGTTTGAGAATACAGTGCACTTATTTGAATTATATTATATGTCTACTTTTTTTAATACCTTTTTATAAAAAGTTAAAAAATGTACTAAATAAACAAATCCCAAACAACCCCTAAACTCAAATATAATTTTTGAGATTTTATTTTTTTGTGTTTTTTAGTGAATTTTTTCCCTTCATATTTTAGTTACTTTTTTTTTTTAATTTTAAATGGATGTCATGTAGATACATCTAAAAAATAAAATATTTATGAATAAATCTAAAAAAAGTACATTAAAGACAAAAAAAAAAAACAGGCACATTTTCTTTCTTTTTTTTTTTTTTTGGTCTTTGGTGTACTTCCTTTAGATTTCTTCATAAATATTTTACTTTTTATGCAAATCTAAAATATATTTTTTAAATGACTTAATCTTATAAAAAAATAAATTTTACTTTCACATACTTTTATTTTATTTTATTTTTTTTAACTCCACTTTTTATTAGATTCACACTTTCCATCATTGTTTTTCTTACAAACATGCAGTTATAGGCAAGGAATAACACATCATACCCCATAGCCAAGAGTCCTAAAAAAAGAAGAAAAAAGGCTAATCACACAATCCACTCAAAACCCTAACTAGATTCTTGATTTCTTATTTAGGTACTTACTTTTTCTCCTTTTCAAACCATTTCAAAGCATGTGGTTTCAAGTAACAAACAAAACAGATCTAAATCTCTTTTATTTCCTCCCCACTTGCTAACTGACATAGCCAATGTTCATCACCCTCTCCCCCTTAACCTAATTTTCTCTCTCCAAAGTTAACGTTTCAAGTTTAAAAATATAAAAATAAATCACAAAAAATAAAAAAATAATAATAAAAAATACATAAATAAATCACAGAATAAACATTACATCTGGCCTTGGCCTTTGCTTCTCTCACAGAAGTTGACATATCGAGAAAGTCTTAGGGGTATAGAAATAAATCGCATACAAGGGCCACCATTCCCTAGGTTTTTATTTCAATCTCCAAAGTTTACGTATCTAGAAAGTCTACAGATACACAATTAAATACAGAAAAGTCACATAATAGACAAAAGGGTTGCTCTGTTCTTGGCTTTTCTTTCTCTCACCAAAGTTAACATATCAAAAAAGACTAGAGATACAAAAATAAATCACAGAAAAAATTAGATAATAGATAAAAAGGTCACCCTTCCTATAGCCTTTCTTTCAATCTCCACTCTTTTTTTAGCCTTTCATTCCATCTCCAAAGTTAATGTATCAAGAAAGTCTAGGAACACAAACAAACCGCAAAAAAGTTGCAAAATAGACTTAAGGGTCACGCTTCTCTTGGCCCTCTTTCCAAATCCCTTCCCAAATCTCCCAACCAAACACAGCATAACTAGATTCTTGATTTCTTATTTAGGTACTTACTTTTTCTCCTTTTCAAACCATTTCAAAGCATGTGGTTTCAAGTAACAAACAAAACAGATCTAAATCTCTTTTATTTCCTCCCCACTTGCTAACTGACATAGCCAATGTTCATCACCCTCTCCCCCTTAACCTAATTTTCTCTCTCCAAAGTTAACGTTTCAAGTTTAAAAATATAAAAATAAATCACAAAAAATAAAAAAATAATAATAAAAAATACATAAATAAATCACAGAATAAACATTACATCTGGCCTTGGCCTTTGCTTCTCTCACAGAAGTTGACATATCGAGAAAGTCTTAGGGGTATAGAAATAAATCGCATACAAGGGCCACCATTCCCTAGGTTTTTATTTCAATCTCCAAAGTTTACGTATCTAGAAAGTCTACAGATACACAATTAAATACAGAAAAGTCACATAATAGACAAAAGGGTTGCTCTGTTCTTGGCTTTTCTTTCTCTCACCAAAGTTAACATATCAAAAAAGACTAGAGATACAAAAATAAATCACAGAAAAAATTAGATAATAGATAAAAAGGTCACCCTTCCTATAGCCTTTCTTTCAATCTCCACTCTTTTTTTAGCCTTTCATTCCATCTCCAAAGTTAATGTATCAAGAAAGTCTAGGAACACAAACAAACCGCAAAAAAGTTGCAAAATAGACTTAAGGGTCACGCTTCTCTTGGCCTTTCTTTCTCTCACCAACGCTATTGTATCAAGAAAGTCCAAGGACCAAAAAAAAAAAAAAAAAAACAGAGACCCTTGTGTCTATTATGTGGTTAGTTATGTATTTGTAGCATGCACAGATCATCCAATATTGTTTTTGATAAATAAACAGATCACCAAATATTACACATAACAATCCTCCACAAGCTTTCTATGGTCACACAAATGTATAAAACTACTGATGACTCTTTCAATAACTTTTTTTCACGTTTTCTTTGCCAAAAGTTTATGATGTTTAAATCAAATCCGCTCGTAAAAAACCTTGCTTGTATAAACAAGTCTATGTCCATATACATATATACCTCCATTAGGGGTGAGCAGCGGATATACCGATCCGCCAAAACCGACCGAACCGAACTGGAGGTTCCGTGGCCGCAACCGACCCGTGCCCACCCCTAACCTCCATCATTCTCATACCCTATCTTGGTATTTCTTTGCATTATTATCAATTGATTGTTGATGCCCACAAGGAACATTCAACTTCTTTCATTTATTATCACTTGTATGTTTCTCCAACTTCCAATCTCTATCTTTAGATTCACTCTTCTATATAAGGCACTCTCAATAGTCCCCCTTACTTCCCATCTTGTGACAATGGACTTGAACAAGTGTTTTTTAGTTGTTCTCTCTTTGGCTTTGGTTCTTGAACTTGGTGAGAGTTTTGATTTCCATGAAAAGGAATTGGAGACTGAAGAGAGTTTGTGGGATTTGTACGAGTGGTGGAGGAGCCATTGTTGGAAAATTTATAAATTTATAAAGAGGTAGTTGTGAATTGAAATAGACTCCATTTTGAATGAAAGGGTGTAACCTTTCATGGTGTCTTTTTGTTTTAAAAGAAGGGTCTCTATTTTGAATGAAAGTGTGCAAACCTTTCATGGTGTCTCTTTATTTTAAAGGAAGAGGTATGTCCCTTCTTCATACCTTTTCTATTCAATTTGAATAGGTGCCAACAAAGCCTATATAAAGGCAGCCCCATTCCAATTTTGAGGATTCCGAAAATTCATTTTCCTTGCCTTCATTTTGCTCTCTTGCGTCCTTTATTCTTCATATTATTTTAGGGCAATCAAAGAGAGTATAGATCGCAGGTTTGGTTCGCTGAACAAATTTATTTGAAGTGCTTCTATAAATTTGTGAAGATCATTGTATCCTGGGAGATAGACGCCATTCAACCGTAAGCACCGTAGCGGGGCGAATCTGTCTTAAGGACAGAGTGTCACACACTCGACTTGGTCTTAAATTATTGATTCGGTTCAACGAAATAAATGCGGTATGTTATTTATTTATTTTGTTTGAATTTATTTCTAGTTATTTTATTTTACACAGAAGATTGTTCCAACAATCTTAAGACAGATGGAACAATCTTCTGTGTAAATAAAATAAACTGAAATAACTCAAACAAAATAAATAAATAACATACCGCATTTATTTCGTTGAACCGAATCAATAATTTAAGACCAAGTCGAGTGTGTGACACTCTGTCCTTAAGACAGATTCGCCCCGCTACGGTGCTTACGGTTGAATGGCGTCTATCTCCCAGGATACAATGATCTTCACAAATTTATAGAAGCACTTCAAATAAATTTGTTCGGCGAACCAAACCTTGTGTTCTAATACTCTCTTTAAATTTTTCCTAAACTAGAATGAAGATCAAAATGTAAGATAAAATCTGGACAAACAAAAAGGAACAAATTATCACTAATATCCGGTTCCTAGAACTGCTGGAAAAATTTGTATTTATAGGCAACCAAAAATAGATCCGAACAGGCACCACTTTATAAGTGAAAAGGTGCACACCAAACATTAATCAATGCACTCAACAATTGAATAGATTAACTGCTAGCAACCGTAGCAGTTAATTACCTGTTTTCAAACAGCCCAAAAACCCGAATCTGTTAAGGCCTATAAGAACCTTTTGAGGTTGGGACTATATTAAATAAACCATTGAAATAAATATATAGTAAACAATTAGAATATATATATATTAAACTAATTGAATGTATATATTAAACTATTTGAATAGTTTATTAAATAAATGAAAATGTACAAACTTTTAGGAAATCACTAAGGAACCTAAAATTTGAATTTAGAATTAAATTAAATTCCTACAATTACAAATTTTAGGAAACCACTCAGGAAACCAAAATTTGAATTTAGAATTAAATTGAATTCCCACAATAATTTTTATTAAAAAAATTCAAATGAATTTTATCTAATAAAAATTAATGTAAGACCCGAAAACGACGTCAACTCCCATTCACTCATAAATGGTTTTGACGTTCCGTCTTCACCTCTTTGGACCCACCCCAAAAGACGTTTGGGGTCCACCCAAATTGGGCTAAATAATATGCCTATATAAAACTATTTTTTCCAACAATCCCCCACATGAATGGAAGTTGACGGAGAGAAAAATGCAACAACATGATCTAAATACAGAGAGTACAGAAGTTGAAAATATTCTGCAAAGGATAGGTAGCTTTTGGCTTTGAACCTTCCCTTGTGAGACACTATCGGATTTACTAGCTAACCAGTGAACACGATGTCTTGAACTGTTCAGCCGTTTGTGTAAACCAAGACAATAGAACCCACACAGTATATTCCCAGACACAGTTTAGTTCTCACTATTGTGTTCATTGTGGCCCTGAACAACCTGGTCTTTCATGAGTGCTCTAAAGACTTGTAGCCCTTCACAAATCTTATAGAACCGGCCCAGTTCACACTCACATAGGTGATTCTTATGAAAAGTATCCTGCCATACTCAACTAGGTTTACCTAGATATAAGAATCATTATGTTAGAATTTACCATAAACCTACCACCACTACCACCTCACCTACTCCACTAAACCTAACCCACTACACCACTACCACCTCCACTTCACCTACTCTCCACCTACTCCCAAACACTCCTATATAATAGGAATCCTTGTAATTGTAATAGATATGAAAAAAACATTATATCAATCAATATCAGATATCAATCAATAATACAATTCTCTCTATTTCTCTATACATAAATTTTTACACATTAAAAGTATTACTTAACCTAAATCGCTGCAGACATCACTTATTTCATCATAGAAATGGGTAGGAGTTGGACTCCACAGTGATCCTTCTGAGTCAATCACAACTCGGTTGTCCCTTTGAACCTAGATCTTGGGATCTCCAGTCAACTAGGTTGGGTTGCCGTTGTGGTAACTCTTATTTAATAGGCTTTAGTCCCATTCCCCTCGATGAATTCTCAACCAACTCTCTTGCTAACCCTTTGGTTAGTGGATCCGCTATCCATAGATTTCGTTTTGATAATCCGAACTGTTTATTTTGTCGAACACTTCGTGAATATTACCCACACAAAAAATTAGATTGATCCGATAATGGTAACCTATTTAATTTATGGTGTTTGTTAGAATAAATAAATAAAGAATAGTCTATTTCAAAAATATGGTCGTTCATTTTTTTTTTTTTTCCTTGTGTGAATTACACTCACCTCATTTGAATTTTAAAAAAATATAGTTAACCTCACCCTTTTTATATAACTTCATCAAAAACAAACAAAGACTAGCTTATAAAGATGAAATGCTTACATATCTAAGAAAGGGTTGCAGAGCATGTAGTAGAAGAAGAAAACTCAAATCAAAATAGGCAACATTAACATTTACAACCCTATCTATAAATATACACCTTTTTGCTGTAACGGCTGAGCTTGATAGAAGTAATAAAACACTTGGCCCATGATATTCGACTGGTACATTGACAAAGCCCCCAATTTACTGTCTATATATAGGGTTTGGATTAAGAGCGTTTAGGTTTGGGGGACTTTGAGACTAATTTTGGTGATCAAAACTGTTCACTTCTTAGGACTTATTAAATAAAATATTCATGTAAAAAATAAAGATAATCAAACATCGATAGATATATGTTTGAATCAGGGGTAGGTCCACTCTTTGGCTCACTAAAACTTTTTTTTAATTTTTATTAAACTTAATTTGTTTGAGTATTATTTCTCACTATTCTTATTAAACTTTTTGTCTCATTTTAAAAGTTTTTTTAAAATTTTAATTATTTATTGTATTTAATTTGATTATAGTTCATTAAATTTTATTGTAATATCATATATAAAAAAATTATGGCTATGCCATTTCAGGAAATGAGTAAAGTAGTCTTAACTAACGTTCTTTTCCCTTAATCAACAAATACATTTTTTTTAATGGAAATGAAGAAAACAATACAATCATTAATAAAATAGGAAAAATCATGTGGTTCCAAAAAACTCATTAGAATTTAGGTCTATGGTAGAGATATAAACCATAGACCTAAATTTCTAATAAATTTTCTAGTAAAATCTCTATTGAGGGGTTGAATATTGATCATTGATAATGAATTCTAGAAATATATATATATATATTTTATATTGATAGTTGATAATGAATTCTAGGTATTTTTCTAATTTCTAATAAAAGAGTAGCTTTGACTATGGCATTTTCCATTTAAGGATATTGTTTGAAAAGAAGAAAAGAAAATTGACCCTTGAAAACAACATTTTTGTGCTATTTTAGGCTAATCAAATAAATAAAGAGCAAATAATAATTCAGTGTAAGTTAAAAAAAAAAATCAAATAAGTGATAAACTTCACAAATTCTAAAGTATCACTAATTTGTAATTTTTTCATTAAATAAAGTCTTACCTACAAGATTATAGGTTAGTCAAATTGTACATAAAGTAGTATGATGTAGGGTGCTTAGTGGATATTCTGATTTGTGCAAACCGACTGAACTAAATCGATCCACTGCATTTCGAACGGATGTGTGATGACGAATGGACAGTTGTGGATTGATTTTTTCCAATTTGCCTAATTTTGGATTGATGGCAGATTTGAGGTTCTTTTAACAACAACCAAACCGCCAAACTACGAGCACCCCTAATAATTTGTAAGACTTTGTGTTTTTAATTGATAATGAAATTGGCTCATGAACTGAGATGAAATAAATTAACTTGAATTGACTAGAAAGAAAAGGGTTGAGATATGAACTTGGGCACTTTATGACTATGCAGAATATGAAAGTTTTACTACTGGCATTGCAAATGCACATCATGCTTATATCTTTCTTAAATCTCATATATTGTGTTAGATTGTTCCTATTGGGCTTTGGCTCACCCTATTTAGGGAAAACCATTTTCAGATGTTGGTGACATGCCTCCGCCACGGCAATAGCGGGAGGGACTTTGGGGAGCAAGAGCTTCTTTATTTTGTTATATTCTTTTTGTATAGCCAAGGGCTTTAATTGTATTGAAATAGGCTCACTTTTGTTGTAACCAAGCAATGACTTGGAAAGATGTAAGCCTATAAGGCATATGATTATCTGCTTAGTTTTCAGTTCTTTTATCATTGTAACACATACTGTAGATTCAAGATGAACATTTTGTAAATGTATATCGCATGTGTTATCTTTTGTATACGAACTCTGATGAATGAAAGCATATTATTTATATTACTCTTTCGCTTATGGATTGTATTTATTGTATTATTTTGGGGGCGTTACATTTTTTACTCAACCCTCACTGGGATTGCTATTCATAATTCATGAAACTAGTCGCATGACATTATTTTTAAACAAACGTGATTTGTGGGAGATTCAAACTTGTTTTGGAGTTTGTTTATTTTTTTATTTGAACTTTTATAAAAATAAATATATAAAAAATTCAAATTTTGGCTTTTTCAAATTTTGTTTAAAAATTTTGAAAAAAAAATATACTTTTTAGATTTGTCTCGACAAGATGGATAAAAAAAGTTTAAAAAAAATTTGACATAATTTTGAAAAAAAAAGTTAAAACTTATAGAAAATGCGAAGAATCCCTAGTTCAAACTTAGAAGATGAGAAGAAGAGTGTAGGAAACTCAAGGACGCCAAAAATCAACTTTGCTTCGATTAAAACGAAGCCCTCATCAAGCTCTATCTTTTTAACAAAGGGACGGGGGTGAAAAGATCAACGGATCTAGATGTATTCGAGGGAAATATGTGAGTTTTAGAGAGAGAGTGGGAGAAAATAGGGTTTTGAAATGTTTAGAGAGAGAGAAGTGAAAAAGTGACTCAAAAATGGCTGCATACGAACTGATATATGCACAGATCGCTCGAGCATAAGAAGTGTCGCTTGAGCACAAGAATCTTCGCTCGAGCGAAGAATACCCACTCCTGGCAGTTTTACAGACAAAAGACCACCACTCGATATCAAGAAGCTTCGCTCGAGCGAAGAATGCCAACTTCCAATACTTTTTGCAGACCTGCAAAAATACTGAGAGTACACAAGAACCGCTCGAGCACAAGAAGTGTCGCTCGCGCGAAGATACAAAATTCTGGGCAACAGCTTGAAAAACAAGTTACCAACCTATTTCAAACGCAACCAAAACATCCCAATAGCCAACTCAAAGAGAAATAAAGGGAAATAAAACATGAACAACTATATAAGATAATGAAACCCAAAACCAAAACATCAAATGGGTCGAGTTTAAACCAGAATCGCTATAATCTCTCACGGAATTTTCAATCAACGACAAAACCATGTCTAAACTAGTTAAAACAATTATAGTAAATTGATGCCAACACCATGACCTATCCACCGATCATTCAGTTTCATCATCATGATAAGCATATGCTCATTACTGAATATACAATTCACATTTCCAAAACATATATAATGTTTATATTACATTAACATAACAAAATTTCAATACATATTCAAATATTAACAAATAGGTCTGGATACTTCTCACGAACTTCCGCCTCACGCTCTCAAGTGGCCTCCTCAACCACGTGGTGTCACCACAACACTTTTACCAAAGGAATTGTCTTGCCTTGTATGACTTGGTCTCGAGTGTCTAAAACTCTAACCGATCTCTCCTCATACAAGGCATCATCGTCTACCTCCAACTCCGTCCAATCCAACACATGTGATGGATTCGGCTCATATTTTCGAAGCATACAAATATGAAA